CAACATAATGAACTAATTAATCACAATACCTGAAAATATTGACTTCACTTTTTTGAAAAATTAAATTGTCTTTCCTTTTACTCCCGATCAACAATCAAATAACTTTTCTTGAATTATGAATAACACGAATGGATTGAAATGTTTAATTGAATTATCTCAAAATAAACCTTCATTTCGGTGCAATATTGAAATTAGCTTGAATTCTTCATAACCTCTGAATAGTGGGTGACCCACTGGGTCACCGGTGGTCTAGTATATATTGATTTTAAAGTTTGTTAAGGTCATTAAGAATTTCAATCGTCACACGTTTTACTCGAATTTTATTACTTAAATGGCATATTGTATTTGCTGATTTTTTTAAATTAGTTTTCCAAAAAATAAGATAGCGTTTAGCAGTAACTAAATGTTAGACATACAAATATTGAGTACTTTATATTAACAATATTTTGGAGCCTCCTCACCTCGTTAATATTACCAGGTTCAGCCATGCTCTATCAGACGGTGTTACGCCATAACTGTAGCCCTGCAGCTGAATTCCCACTGTAAAAGGCTCAGTCGTAAGACTCTCATGACCAAAAAACACTCCTCCTTGCTTTCCATAAGTCATAAAGTATAAGAAGACATGAATTCCCATTGACGGTTTGAACAACTGCACAGAAATCCATAGGCACTGTTGTCTGGTGCACTTAATCAGTATGTTTTCGTATGGAATAGCATAAATAATATCCATTCCATTCTCCAGCTGTTTGATTTGCGCGACAGTTGAACAAATATCTCGTGGAAGAAGATTGTGTAAACGTGAATTGCCACTTTTTTCAGAGGGATATCTTTTTTAATTATGCTGCGTACTGTTGTCTAGGTGAAATGGATGGCTTTTGCCATTGTTCTTGTTGTTTGTGGATTCTCACCTGTTACAACATGTCGTACTTTGTTTATCATGGCTGGGGTATGATTTGTTACAGGGTTTTTTCTGGATACCTTGGAGCTCCAGATTTATCCATATTCCTTTGTTTTCCCGATTGTCATTAAGTACAAGGAATTTCCCCATCTTAAAAATTCGAAACTCCCGATCTGAACACATCTTTATGACTTGAGTGTACGATGTAATGAATTTGTTGTTATATATTTATTTTAATATCAACGTTTGTTTAAATTAAATTTATATTAGGAAACATAAATGGCTTATACTGTTAAATATGTATTTCGAAACTCCCGCCTATTCTCCAGAGTTGTAGAAGATTCTCGATAGTAAAAATCAACAATATATATGTATATACGTAAATGCTTAAATGTAGCTCAGTGTTGTTACGTGAAACTGAAATTTCTAGAACGCCTCCGCAGCCTATAAATATAGCCAACGCGATGCGCGCCAGGGAGAGTGTCTATTATTATTAGTTCGTTATAATCAGTGTGCTACAAACTTCGGAAGCTATAACTGTGATTGTTATAACACTTATCAATCGGAAAACTTCAGATATTTGACCAGGAATCTTTGCAAAGTTCGAACATTACAAATCGTTTAACTTCAGTGGATTCTCATCGGACATTAGCATTTTTACGAAAACATTACCTAACGTCATCGGTGAAACTCGACCTGTAATCGGCGTGTGGCCAGAGAGAAGTACAGGGCTAACTAGCTTCCTACTAAGTGAATTGTACCTATATCAACTCGCTCATCGTGAACTAGAAAGAAGACTTTATATTGCTTGTAAGTTTATGAAACATTTGTTTATAAATCCTTGCTTGTAATAACTATTTGTAATAACTGTTATTGTAAATTGCATTGTTGTGTGTGTGTATTAAAACGTATTTGTGTTAAAAACGAAAACGGTGTGTATCAATCTTGTTAGCAAATATCATAAACTGACTATATATCGGCTTTTACTTAACTACTGAATTCAAAGTACAATTTAACTACTAAATTTAAATTTATCAATTAACTCAATTTCAGACCATTTGAAATTCTAATAGGTAACAACGAATATTCTGGGTTTAAAGAGATGTTGCATACTCTTCCCAAAAGCGATCAATTTTCGGTGATATCACACTACCCACACAATGCCAAACAAGGAAAAATGTACTTCTGATATCTATGCCGTTCCATCGCGACTTTATATCAGCTGTGGTTGTAACCTAACTTGTTGATTTTTATATAAAAAAATTATTTCGACATAAGGTCGAGCCGTTTGCTATGGAAACTAATCTGTAGGGCTGTTGCCAAGATGTGTGGTCGTCAGATAGAGTATGACTGGACGTGGTAACCTAGACAATAATGACATGGTGAGGCTCCTAACTCATTTTATTACAACGTACTTTACATATGTATTTCCCAAAACTTTATAACAACATTATATGATCGTTTAGTCAGCTACACAAATTTCTGAACATTTATTGTATTTAATAATTGTTTATTTACATTCATTAACCATTTTATAAATTATAAAAACAAAAATAAATCTATAACTTAATCAATTCAATTATTTTGTACAGAATATTGCAAAATTAAAATTAGAATAATGATTTCCATACATATGCTTTGATGGTTTCAACTTTTAGTTATTAGCAGTTGTAACAAACAAACAAATATCTATCTATTACTTTCTGTTACAGTTAAGGTACTGTTTCATGAGACGTTTCTATTCTTTCTCAGAAACGCAAATAGTACTTTCAAAAAGTGCTTTGTCTTATCATAACCATTATTATAAGCAAAGTCTGTAAGCCAACTTTTAAAAATCAAGTGGAAGTAAGAACGATAATTTCACAAAAACCTATATATTTTTAAATTCAACGTCAGAGTCTCTAACTTGTATAGTATTTTTTCTCTGCACAAGTGGCATAAGACACGGAAGCTCATATTTCTTATTAACATGTTTCTGACAGGATTATTAATAAATGTGATAAATAAAACCATTTTATGAATCTCGGAAAGCTATAAACATAATTACAAAATCTTTACAGTGTTGATGGAAATCAAATACAGTGTATAATATATTAACAACTCGTTCAATAATCTATACAGCAAACTGCATATAAAATGTTTCCTTAAAAACATGTAAAATTCCTCATCACTGCAGAGAAGGACAAACTTACTTGTTTTAGGACAATCTAATACATCCGTCCTTGCTACTGTCGAGGTTACCATTACTCTTCTTATCGAACTGAAACATTTCATACGTGTCTCAAACCAAACTCATGTAAAATAACTTTCAAGAATAAAACGGTAGGCCTAATTTATCCACCACTACTGGTATCATAAACTCTGAGTTGCTACGTGAAGAAATAAAGGGAAGGGGAAATGAGGAAATCATATGGACCGTGTCTAGTCCCTAGGGTGTAGTTGCTATGGTAACCATATTGGGCTTCACTATCTATTTTTCTTGTCAGTCACTGTTGGCTTTCATATGAAAACTTCAGCTCCATCCTCAGTCTTCTGATTGCCGTTTCCTTGTCTAAGAACTCGTAAGTAAACAGAGCACTGACTACACTCATGCGCCGTAAATTATATATCTATTTAGAACGTTACAGCGAACATAATTAAATGATGAGACTCCTAGAGGGACTTCTCTCTGAAAACACGACACGTCAGGCAATGAATTAAATGTAGAATTATACAACTGATACAAGCTTCATTTATCGATTTTTCAAGGCATGTTGAAACATATGCTGTGTAGGAATGACATTTAACCTTATTATTTGTTGTAAGGTGAAACATATACCTGCGTATATGCAAAATATCGTGTAAACAGCTTTGCATTTTAATGTACGTTTATTAGTGTTTGCTTTGTATCTGTTTATTTAATGCCTATTGTCAAGTTGATTTGGTGAAACGTGACAGTTTTAACTTTAGTAATATTTAATTTATTCTGTAGTAACGAAAGCAACCATTATATAGAAAAGTAAAACATTTTATAAAAATAAATTTATACGTTTACCGATATGAAAGCATACAAGCTTGATTATGCGATGTATACAATTTATACTGAAATAAAATACTGATTTTTTTCTATATTTGTTAACTGCTGTATATTAATTTCAGCGATACTTTCTGTTTAGCAATAATTACAAACTTATGATCGCAATAATAACTGGCAATAAAAAGGGAAAACTCTAAAATTTACCGCAGAAACAATAATCGAGAAATGACGATGGATGTATAATATTTTAAAAGAAGCCGGGAGGTAATAAATAAGATAGAAGTATGTTAAATTGTTTCGTAGATGTAAGGGTAGCGATACAGTGAATACTAAACTTGTCTTTTGTTAAAGAAAAAGTTGCATAAAGGGGCTTTTTGTGCTCTGCCCACCGCGAATATCGAAAATCGAGTTTTAGTGTTACAAGCCGTTAAACTTACCACTGTGCTACCGGAGGTAGGGGAGGGGCAAACATAAAGCACTCGACGTCTCTATTTCTCTATCTCCTTTTTTATTTTATTTTATTTATTTATTCTTTGCCGTTTATATGCTTAGTTAGAATTTAGAGTAAAAATATACTAACTAAGAAATGAAGTTTAGCGATTTACTTCTAAATTTAAAAAAAAATGCCAATTAGAATTGACCTTTCTTCTGTTTATACTTTATCTTTTAATTTCAAAACACATACAGCAGAATCATCGAATAAATATGCTTTTAAAGCTAAATCTACGATAATTTCTCTAGGCAACATCACACAAGCTTCTTCAACTAAATCTACCATCACTTCTCTCCGTAATAACTTCACACAAGCTTTTAAAACTAAAACTACAATTACTTCTCCCCGTAATTACACACAGGCTTTTAAAACTATATCTACCATCACTTCTCTCCATAACTTCACACAGGCTTTTAAAACTAAAACTACAATCACTTCTCTCCGTAATTACACACAGGCTTTTAAAACTAAATCTACCATCACTTCTCTCCGTAACTTCACACAGGCTTTTAAAACTAAATCTACCATCACTTATCTCCGTAATTTCGCACAGGCTTTTAAAACTAAATTTACCACCATTTCTCTCCGTAACTTCACACAGGCTTTTAAAACTAAATCTACAATCACTTCTCACCGTAATTACACACAGGCTTTT